GATCTCGATGACGCAACAATAGCTTGAAGCCACCAGTGGATTCACCTAATCACCTACCCAGGAAGGACTTACACAGTGACAAGATGGCCAATGAAAACAAGGGGCAAAATGCCATCCCATTTGTATAGCATGGAATTGGAAGAGAAAACCACCAAAAATACTTTGAATGGACAATTTAGTGTGACATTTTTGTATTAAGATTTGTCAGAGGGTTTCACAATCCAGGAATATGAAAGTGTTCCAAGCTATATTTATAATGTATAATTTATTTAATTTAGATGTTAGTTAGAGGGCATATGATGTTAAGATCAAGCAAGAACTAGAAATATCTAGAACAAGTGTATTTTATTAATACAACGTTTTGTGAAGCATCATTATATTTGTTAGAGAGTGAGATGAAAGTTAGTCAAGGATATAGTTAAGAAAGAATATAGAGTTTGTTTTCATGAAGTAATTGGATCTGTTTGCCATTGCACATTTTGAATTACGAATAAGTTGGGTTGTTTAACTTTAGTTAATATAATTTGTAACGTAGACCTACAACAAGTTACAACAGTGTATAAGTGCCCAAGTACTGAAGCCCGTGAACCGCAAAGTGGAAAAAAAGAGGGTCTATATTATTGAACATAGGTAAATCATAAAATAGATAAATAATAGCTTTGTTTTGCTTTCATAACTGAACAATCTTTAATTTAGACTAGTATTGGTAATACTCACCTGTAATATCCACATATGGGAATGGCAGGTGTCACACAGTGTCGAATAGTGACATCAAAGGGATGCGTCATCACTGTGTCATTATCTTGCACATACAAGATGCCACTTTCAATTTATATATATGTATATATATATATATTCTTTGTGGTTCAGGTTTTCTGTACCAAAGTTTGTAGAAACTTTGGAAAATGAAATGAAGTAATTTGTTCTTGTCACAAGGAGTCCCCGGCTACATTCCTTCGTGGCTCAGCGGTAAGACAGATGGCTTATAACGCTAAAAATCGGGTTTCTGTTAGGCAGAGTATTCTGCACAAATAACTCATTGTGTACCTTTATGCTTTAAAACAAACAAAATCTTCACATTTACTGAAAGTTGAATTATTTTCATCAGATAACTTAAAAGAACCCGTCAACGAGAAAACAACGTTATCACAATACGTTCTCGAGTTTTCAGGCAGCACAATGTTTTTTCTACATTTTTCTTTTCCTCTATCTTTTCTATAAGCGGTTTTTTCTTACTGGAAACATAATAAATGGCTGTTGCATCAACCGTTGTTTTCAAAGTCGTCAATGAACTTATTTTCAAATTGGCGAATGTTTTATCTTGTTTGCTTTCATCTAATTTTTTTATTTCATCGCCCATGTAATTCTTTTACAAACAGAGGTGAATATATATTCACGAGTGTTTGTTCATTACTGTGAACGAAAGTTTAATAATATTGAGTTCTATACGACTTTATCGCTTCATTTTACTTTATTGTTGTTGTTGTTTGTTATTAAGCACAAAGATACATATAGCGCTATCCGTGCTCTGCCCACCACGGGTATCGAAACCCGGTTTCTAGCAGTATATGTCCGCAGACATACCGTTATGCCACTGGGGGGCTTTAGTTTATTACGGAGCATAAAAAATAGTAATGTTAATATGACATTTTAGTAACGTGTATCTGTGAATGGTGATAATAGCAGAATACTCACATGGCATAGGTTTAATAATATTAATAAAAATAGCAGATACCAGTAATTGGATTTATGGAGTTATGTTAATTTTTCGGGATGAAGCTCGTTTTCAACGTAGCGTCACTGAAATATTTATTAGTTTTTACCTAACAATAAATTTATTGTTAATAATATTTTGAAAATATTTTGTGTTTGTTGTGCAACTCGAAGTTGAAAGTGTAGTTACTTGGTGAAACTGAAAGTTGGAGCTGTGAAAAGATAAACATCCTATTAATTAATCGCATTTTTTTTTTTTTTTACTTTACATCATGATAAATTTTGAACAGAAATCTATGCAAAACTTTTCTTGTGTATTTGATTTATAAGTTTAAAAACAATAACTTGAATTATATATGTTGGACTTCCTTCATGGTTTTGAATTTAGGATAGGCCTAGGCTTACTTTAATACCGATAAAATTCGTTATCATTTGAACCTAGACCTATGAATAAAATAAAGCTTCCCTTACAGGGCCTTACTGTTATTATTTATATATATATATTCGATAATGCTTAAGGATTTTGACGTATTATTAGATTTGTGAATTTAAATTTTGTAACTTTTTTGATTTTATTTTCAGTTGTTTAAGTGAAATAGCACTCATTATTGATATTAAGATTTAATAAATACAATATAAAATAATTTTTGCAAGAAATTAGAATTAGAAATTTTTCTAGCAGAAAATACAAATAATTTCATTATGTGTTTTGTTGCTGTGGAAAATTAAAAAAGAACAACAAGAATGAAATTTCTTTATCCATCACATTCCATCGTGAAGTACGTGTATCTATTTCAACAGTTTCTTGCTAAAATATCCAAAAGAAACTTTGCTGTTCAACCTCTCACATTTTCAAAGCCATTAAACATAATAAAGTGGTCTTCCCCTAATTCTGTTAAATGTGGATTAAAAACAACAACAGAAGAACCTGTGGTAAAAAAGAAAAAGAATGTGCAAAAAAAAATCTCAGGAGGATATAGATCTAACAACCTTACCTCCTGATGTTGCTGAAGTTGTTCGACTTCAAGGGCTTTCAGGTCGTTTGACAAAAAGTACCCGGTTTCCTGATAATTTGTACATAGCTAGTACCCAAGTTGTAGGTAATCTATTGTCATTTATTTGTAATTTTAATTTAATAAATAAAGAGTATTCTGGTGAAGTTTGGATAAATAGAATATAGGATATATTTGGTTGTATCAATAGTATCTTGTAAGTGAAGCAAAATGATATCAATTATTTGAGAATAAACATGGCTTTGTTAGATGTGTGTAATAATCTTGCAGCTTATATTCGTTGTTTTGGAGGGAAGATTAAAGAATCCAAGTTAACTGAGTACCCATATGTGACTAGATAATTTATTGTTCAACGTGTTAATGAGATTAATTAAATTTTCACATCACACGATTTGTAAAATATTTTCCATGTTACCATTTATTGTGTTGCATACTGTATATATGTGTTTTTTTCTCCTTTTATGTATTTTGATAAGAAATGTTAGGTGAAGAAATTATAAACTGGCTATTTACAGCTTTTTAGTTTTCTTACATCAGTTCTGCATAAGTTTAAAAAGTAAAAAAGCATTTATTTTCATTTCTAGGATGAGTGTGTTCTACTCTAAACTAACTGTAAATTTGTCTTTCAGATATTTTGACACATCAGTTAGTATCACAATTTCTCAATGAAGAAACTTATGTCTTTGAAGCATCTCCAGGTATGAATTTAAAAAAATGACTAACTTTTTGATTACTTATTAACAGATGAATAATTTTCAATGCCATCAAAAATAGTTTATTTTAAAATCTCAAAACAGCTGGATTTAGGCTCATTTCTCTAGTTTCATTTGATGTGAATGGGGATACCAAAGATATGTAAAACAAAACACTATGATACCACCATTAATATAAACAGAAATATGTTTTGGGTTTGAGAACAAGATTCCCTGTAGATAATATTATAATATTCTGACCTAATGAAGTATAATTGCATTCTTTTTATTTGTTATTATGAAGTGATTATCAGGCATAGCCAATGTTTGTGGCAGTTGTACCATTTGTAGGTTCTGAATTTTGATTAAAGTGCCACTTACCCAAATCTAGATCCATAGGAATGGGGGAGGGGGAGTAAATCAGTCAAAGTTAAAGGCATTGCAAATTAAATGAAATAAATAATTAATATTCACTTCCAATTAGAGTAAGTTATCTACCTACTACAAATCAAAAAACCAACCTGGTAATGAGTAAAGCTAATTAAATATACTCGTGTTCTTACATTTGAATATTAGAATGCATTGTTTCATCAGTTGGTTACCCTTGTTATTCATGGTATTTTTGGCTATAATGCCAACTTTGTCTACAAGATTTGGCCAGAATAGAAGATATAGGTTAGTCCTAAATACACATATTAAGTTAACAAAGAAAACAATTTCTATAATAAAAGTGTAGTAATAATAAAAAGTAAAATTGAAAGTGATGAAATTAGATACATGAAACAATATTGGAGGCAGTAATACAAAATAAAATTACAAAACAGATAAAAAAGTCCTATATTTTACGAATGGGATAAAAAGACAAATTGTGAAATAAGCATTTTGCTTTTCTATTGTCAGATACATGCATAAACCCTGTTATGAATTAACAGTTATTGATACTGTTACCCAAAACATTTTTTTGACATTTTTAAACATTTGTGTAAGACAAAGTAAATTACATAAACAGGTAAAAAAGTCAAAATAAGTCCTATATTTTACGAATGGCATGAAATGACAAATTCTGAAATAAGAATTTATTTGTTATTATCACATACATGCATAAACTCTGTTATGAATTAATAGTTATTGACAATGTTTGCCATGATACTTTTTTTACCTGTTTGTGTGATTTTTTTTGTCATTTTTTTTTTCCATTGTCTTTTTTACCCTTAACTTTATTACTTAGATTCAAACATTATACCTAATACAGTTAGGGAAAGTAGCAACAGAGTTTGCCTTACTTACAGAACACAAAAACACTAGCTGTTGGCTTCAAGTACTGTCACAGATTTAATGGCATGCATTTTCATAACATTTCATGTTTGTTTAGAAATTCTAAGTAAAATTTGTGCTATGTGCCACAACTTGTAACATTTTCTAAATGACAAGTATATCTGAAGTTTTTGCCTTGCACGCCACAGGTTGGCGGATAAATCTGTCTTACTTCCTACTGATTTTCATTTTATATCCAAGGAATAAGAAGATGCTGTTTTGGTCCATCTAGACTATCCCATCTTGTACTACATAACTTTAAGCTACATATTATAGCAATTTATTTTCCTGTATTTAATTATGATTTCTAAAATGCTCACCTAATATCATTTTAAACTTGTTTAAATGTTGTAGCTTTTATCACATCTGAAAAGCAAACTATTCTATAGCACAATGCAACACTACCTTAATTAAGTGGAGCCACGTTTGAGTTTTACATGTCTTAGGTTTGTGTTCTTTTATCTTACTGTCTGATGATGGTAACTGTATTAACAAAACTAGTCAGCTGAAACAACCATTAAAGATTTTATCTTTAATTATGCCAAAACACCTAAAACGAATTTAAGTAGATACTTCATTATATTCAAGACTTTTAGGTCTATGTTTGTTGACAAAAGTCCTTCTAAAATCTGGAATTCCTATGGCTAGTGCTCAGTAGGGATGAAATAAATAGTAGTTTTGATTGAATATTAGATTTCAGATATCCATATACTGATATTGGATTGTATTTGAATATTTCAGATCAGATAGCATATGTGGTCATACATATTGAAAGTGCACTGCATGCCTGTGCTACCACTTCATTATAGTACAGTATTAAACTAGATACTTTGTAATTGGTTTGTGAAAATGTAATAAGGATTTACAGTTTTGCATAAGTAAGTAACCACTGCAGTCCCTTTACCTGAATGTGGTACATAGCAGATTCCCCACATCGATTTTTGTTTGGATTACACTTGTCAAAGTTTTTGCTGCTGCTGCCATGATAACCTATCTGTATTATGACTCCAAAGTAAATGCCACAATTTTTAGAAGCTAGTAGAAAGCACCAGTAGGCTAGGTGACACATTACCTGTTGTATGTTATGCATGTGCAAAGAGTATCATGCCTGTGTAATATTGTGAAGTAATCCACTGATGGAAAGGCTTTTGTATTATCTAATTTATTACAAAATTAATATCCATATGGATCAGATTTCAACAGATAGTGCACTCATTTGGATTGGATTTTAGCAGATAGAGCAATATCCAGTCGTATTGAATTTCAGCAGATAGAGCAATATCCAGTTGTATTGAATTTCAGCAGATAGAGCAATATCCAGTTCTGCTGAAATTCAATACATAGAGCAATATCCAGTCGTATTGAATTTCAGCAGATAGAGCAATATCCAGTCGTACTGAATTTCAGCAGATAGAGCAATATCCAGTCGTATTGAATTTCAGCAGATAGAGCAATATCCAGTCGTATTGAATTTCAGCAGACAGAGAAATATCTAAATGGATCAGATATTTATCAGTATTGTAATGTTTTGTAGAGTATCTTGGTAATTATTATATTTCAATAATCAATACTCCCTTGTATTTGAAACCTTTAGGTCTGTGTTTGTTGACAAAAGGCCTTCTGAAAGCTGGAGTTCCTCATCTAAGAGTATTTGAGAAAAGAGCAGACTCTCTAAGTCAATTGGAAGTGAGTGATTCAAGGATTTCTACATAATTTTTCTTGAAAAAATGAGAGTTCATCATGTATAGGGTTTATTATAGTTTTAAGACTTGGTATGAAAAATTACAAGTACAGTATGTATATTATTATAAATTTAAAAAGCTCATTTTTTCTTTTTTATACTAATCAAGACTAGTATTTGTAAGGTTATGAGAATACTTAGACTGTTGTGTTTGTGCAGTAATAAAATTCATTTTCATAAGAATTTGCTGTATATTAAAATCTGGTTCATTTAATGTAAGTGGCAATAAAAATCAGTAATCATTTTATAAAAAAAGTTTGTTATGAAAGCTGTCAGGTGAAACTCGACTTCCCTAATTGGGATATCACTATGTGAAGAATGCATTTCTAAAGCATGTTTAGTTTGTGATGGAAAAAAAATAAGGTCTTTCTTTTATATTCATATTGACTAATTGCTTCTAGTACTAATGTACAAAAGTATTAATAATGTTTCAAACATTTATCTTTTGTGTAAAAAAATCTTCCATAATGAGTAATGATGAATAATTTTTAAGCATGTTAAAGTCACTAAGTGCATTATTTGAGTAATGTTTTACTGTTCTCTAGGGTATCAGTTTGAAATTATCACATTGGTCTTATGTTTGCCTTGTGTCTATTGATGATAGATAAATTAAAAATGTGGGTCAGTTCATATCAGATCATTTACCCTTGAAACTGAAGGTTCATGGATTTTAATGCTGTTTGACAAGGAAATTATTATCATACAAAAGTAAGATTTGGCCAAGTTTTGCATCCCTAGGTTGAACAAATTTTATGTGAGAGATCACCACATATTTGACTCATAATGGCTTTTGAATAAGACTGATGACATAAAAGTACCAATAACATTTTAAATTTTAATGCTACTTTAAAAAGTAAAGAATTGCTGGAAAGTTCTCTTTGTGATGTAGTCAAAGATGCCAATTCTCTTGATATTCAGACCTCGAATTGTTAACTTTTGAACTCACTTTGAGTGTCACCCCAACTTTATGACCAAAATCCAGGTAAGATACTGAAAGGATGTACATTCACTGATTACATTGTGTCTCATTATATAATTTCATGGGTGATAAATTTAAGAATGACTTTAAAGGGAAAAACAACTTGCTGAACTCATGCTTTTAATAATGTAGTAACGTTGGCTGAACAGATGTGAATGGTTAGTGTTCATACACAAAGTGGAAAGGCTATTGTAATGAGGTGATTCACATAAATGGTATAACATTAACATTATTACAGTCTTTACTGACTCAGTTATTGACCTTCTTGAGTACTGTTGTTGCCCCTGTTGTTCTTTGGCAACGTGAGCAGTTGCTAGATGGAAGTAAGATTGAACAAGATGATCTCATCAATTCTGAGCTTTTTTAAGGAAAAAATGATAAAACTCCTGGGCCAGATAATATTTCCCCAGTTGAATTTGTACTATAGCATGAAAAATAAAAATGTTATTAGTAGTTTTATGTCATTGGTCTGATTTGGGAATCATCTTGGGTAAAATATTTGGTGACCTCTCACACAAAAACTGTTAACCTGAAGAAGTGAAGCTAGACTAAGTCACATATTTCTATGGCACTAACATCCCTGCCAATTACCATCACAATTGGAAGAGGTTAGGTGAGAAATCTTCCTGAAATTATTGATTTGAAATAGATTGACCCATTTAAATTGTTCTAATTTAAAAAGTTGCACTCAAATAATATTCTAGGGATTCTTGTATCATAATGAAAAGAATAGGTTTTTAACAAAATTTATGATCACATTGGCAATGTACATATAAAAAGGGATGTGATAAGTTTTTTTTAGATTGAACATGTGATTATTCTTCCTTTAGTTCCAAGCTTTGGACTTGTATGCTTGTACTGAAAACTTTATCTGACCCTAAAATATATAACTATAACTCTATGCAAATGACGATAATTACCGTTTTATTGTGATTGATGGCAACTCAGTTTTATCTGTGAGTCAGAAAACGGCAACTGAGCTGCTCCTGCAGCAGTTAATGGGTTAAGCATAAAGTTCCACATTGGGCTATCTGTGCTCTGCCTATCACAGATATCAAAACCTGATTTGTAGCATTATAAGTTTTTTAGTCAACTCCCGAGAATAATCAGTTAGTCAAATGTATCAACTAATGAGCCCAATAATTAATCAACCAGCAAACTCTACTAATCATCCAATTCTAATGTTAATAAGTTAATTTATCCAAAAATAACTGCAAAGACAATGCTCATTTTAGTGTTATTTATAGTGATATTTCTGTATTCAATTCCAACTGTTTTTTTAAGCATTATTGTTATTGGCTGTGCTACCTGGATCTTTTTCTTTAATTCATTAATTTTCTAATCCATATGAGTTGTATACCACTTCATATTAGTTACAGCACTTGTTCTAAAAAATTCATCATTAGACTTTTGATTTGACAACTTGCATAGTGTTTTTTGTTGTTCTTATTAGTTAATAATTGGGTATAACACTTTTATTGATACAGTTGATTTCGTGTAATTATTTCAGTTTGTATGGTAGTAAATTTTAATGATAATTATGAAGTTCTTAGCCAATGATGTGATCTGTGAAGAAGCAGCTTTATAACTGATATTTTATAAATACTTTGCACAGTGTTAGCAATGCTATATAAACTTGAAAATATCTGAGTGAACTAAAAAAAATGTATGTAGTATCATACAACAGAAAGACATAGCATTATGGTAATAATGATAAATAGTTGGTTCTGTTTGATTTATTGTTGAATTTTGTTTTATTCAGGATCTTAAAAAGCAGTATCCTTCACAGCTAGAGATTGTTAAAGAAGACATTCTCAATCTTCCAAAACTTTCAGCTCGTGATATACACACAGGAGATAATACTGTTGATGAGTTACTGAAAGGAGTGCAGCACCGTGAGTGGAAAGAACGTATGTTGCTATCTAAATCATTTTTACATTCTCTATATATAACTTTATACAATCATACAACAAAAATATTCAATGCATTAAAGTGTACATTTTGAGTAGAAGATATAATAGTTAAGCTATCTGGCTGTAGTGTTATGTGTATTATATAATATAACAAAAGTTTATTGAGAAGCTGTTTAAAATGTGAAACTCAGTAAAAAAAACTAAATATTTAATCAAGAACCAGTTGGAATTAAGACGATGTGATAATTGTGTACTTGTGATAATGGTGTTCCTTCATCAGCGATCAATGGGTGCTTCAGATTCTGTCAGAAGGATTTGTTGTCCAGTTTCTTTCCCCACCTCCCATCTCTCTTTACCCTGTTTTCTTCCCTTGACTTCAAGATCCCGTGACCAGCCAGCATCTGTCAGAAGTGGTTCGGGAATTGCTCTTGCAGAGAGCCATTGAACCTATTCGACATCCTTCACAGAGTTTTTATTCCCGCCTTTTCATTGCCCCCAAGAAAACCAGGGATTGACGGTCAGTAATCAGTTTATCTCACCTCAACCACTTTGTTTCACTACCCTGGTTCATCATGGAGTCTTTTCTTACCCTGAGATGGGTATTTTCTCTGGGGCTGTGGATGACCAAAATGGATTTCTCCAATGTTTACTTGCGTATACTGATATCACCTCAGTCTCGTTCTTATTTTCAGTTTGTCCAACTCTGGGTGGTTTATCCATTTTTCAGCCCTCCCTTTTGGACTTGCCTCAGCACCTTACGTATTTTGCCAAGTAGTCCGAGCTTTTGCTCAACATCTCCATGCTCTCTGGGACTGAGATTTCATTATTACATGGACGACTGGCTTCTTCTAGCCCATTCCAAACAGGAATCGTCAATCATACTTGGCAGCTCCTTTCTGTAGTGGCTTGAGTGGGCTGGTTGATCAAACTGGAAAAGTCCTTCTTCAGACCCACTCAATATCTTGTCCATTTGGGGGGTCTTTTTAAACAATCATATCAGTCGAGCTCAGCCTTCTTTTTTTACAACTGTGTCAATGGAACTGTTGGTTTACCACACCTCTTGGCTCACTCATTTACTGCTTGTGAGGTTCTATCACTTTTGGGGGCGTGGTCATCAATGACATCACTGTCCCCCCCTTGGACGTGCCCATATGAGATTCCTTCAGTGGGCTCTTCACGATCGATGGAACCTTGTTCAGGATCCTCTTTCCACCCCAATTACCCTTCCTTTTCCCTGTGAGATGATCTGCTTTGGTGGTTGGATAAAGTCCATACGTCGGTGGACATGTCACTTCCTCCCCTACATCTGGATCTACAACTTTTCATGTATGCATCCCTTCAGGAATGGGGGGCATGGTTCAGTCACCAGGAGGCTTTGGGCCATTGGTCTGCAGAAGAAAAAACTTTACATATCAATGTTCTCAAACTTCTAGACATACGTCAAGCATTGCTTCACTTCCTTCTTCTTGCCCAACATTGTCTGGTGATGGTTCATTCAGACAATTCTATGGTGGTGGCACATATCAACCACCAAGGGGGCACCTGGTACAGAGATATCTGTTTTTGTTTGTTGGATCTCTTATACTGGGCTCACGCACATCATATTCATCTTATTGCATATCATATGCTGGGTGTTTTCAATCTGGTCATGGATCAACTTTTGCACCCTGACTGGATATATCCCACAGAGTGGTCATTAGATCCCCTCGTTTTCAGGGATCTTTGACATCAGTGGGGTTCTCCCCACGTGGATGCCTTTGCTACAGGCCTCAACAACAAGTTACCTCTCTTTTGATTGCCTGCACCTCATCCCCAGGCTCTGGCAGTGATTCCTTCAGCCAGGATTGGGCACACAAGTTTACGTGTACCCACTCATCAAATTACTTCATTGGGTGATTTCTCTCATCCACTCCACTCCTTTTCAGGTACTCCTGATTCCTCCTTATTGGCCAGCTAAGCCTTGGTTTATACAGTTACAGCAACTGCTCCTCTCTCCTCCTGCCCTTCTTCCACTTTCTCCCTACCTTCTTCGTCAACCTCAGTCACATGTCCTACATCCCATCCTTCTCTTCCTGCATATTCACACCTGGCTTTTGTCCAGTCCTTCATGAGAAGATCTTTTTACTTGTCGAGTCACTTCCTTGTTAGCTAGTTCCATCCATTCATCTTCCATGAAAGTGTACTAACACAAGTGGAAGGTATTTCATCATTGGTCTTACTGTGGCTTGTGTGGCAGAGATTTTCAACATGGGTCTTTGGTCTACTCACTTTTGGTATATTGGGCAGTCTTATCCCATACCTTTCATTTTTCTCAATACTGTAGAGTTTTTACTTCCCCTGTCCTTACCATGCTTACGAGTTCCTTCCGGATATGACACCCTGCCAGGTGACCTACCCTTCCAGATTGGGATGTTAATGTGGTCCTCTATTCTCTTACTTTACCTCTGTTTGAACCACTTTCCTTGTGTTCCATGTTTCATCATTCCCTTAAAACATATTTCCTTCTTCTTTTAGCCTGTGGGTGTTGATGGTCTGATTTATTTGCCATTCACGTTTCATGTACCCTTTATCCAGATTGTTCCTTTCTCCCTAAGACCTCGGCAGCTCAGTAGGGTTGTGTCTCCTATTTCCCTTCCTTCCACTTCCCACCTTTACCCTTGACCAGATCCAGATAGGCTTCTGTGCTCGATCAGGGCTTTTTCTTGTTATGTTGCCCATACTGTCTCCTTCAGGGGTACATGTTCCCAACTTTTTATCCCCTGGAAATCCTCCTCCTCCACTCGGGACCTTTCTCCTTCTACCCTCACCAATTGGGTCCATCTTTTGGCTTGACTGGCCTATTCATCCCTACCTTCCTCTTCCCGGAAGTTGTTCCAGGTGTCCTCCCATCAGATCTGACACCTGACATTTTCCCTTGCTCCTCGTCTTTGTCGTTCAGTGGAGGAGATTCTGCAGTCTGGCATGTGGACTACACCCAGTACGTTCATCTCCCACTATCTCCATCATATCGTGATTTCCTCTTTGTGTGGGTTTTTTCTACCACCTGTCACCATTCTTCAGACTTTGGTGTGACTCTAACTGGTAAGTTTTTCTACATACTTTCTTTTCCAGGGCCTTTCTCCATTTCTTTATCCTATATATCCTGCTCTGTGGCGAGTGGTGCCTGACCAGGTATTCTTTAACCCAAAATCCATGCTGTACAGCCATGTTACTCGCGCTTTATCTTCCATGGCTTCCCACACTCACTGTTGAGATGGGGTGTTCCACAAGATTGCTTGTAGGTGCATGACCTTGTGATATTTTGCTTCATAAACATGCCTGTCCTGGACCGTAGAAACTGATGGACTGCATG